GGCAGCGTCCACAGGCCTGTCAAACTCAGAAGGGGACCTGCCCTCACTGGTCAGTCCCATATTGCCACAAGCGGCAATTTGGTTTCAGCCAAACATCATCCTTCCCATTGAATTGTTTAAATGAATTGTGTTGGGTTTGTAGTTTTGTTTACATTATGTAAATTCCTCTAGAATGTATTGCTAAGTAAAAAAAAAGTTAATATACTACCTTTTGATCAAAAAGGGAAGTACTGTAAGAATAGAGAGGTAAACATGTATATATATATATTTTTTTCTTTTTCTTTTTTTGCAGAAAGAAACACTGGAAAAATAAATCAGACCTAATAAAAATTGGTACTCAGGTGTGGAAGGGGACTTCTTAGAAGGGACAAAGGTAGGCGCAAGATCGCTTTATGTGTATTTTTCTATATAGTTTTGACCTTTGAATCATTCTGGGGGAATGGTTGCATGAGAGCTATTAGGAAGAATGTACACCTAATGGAATAGAAATAATTTACCTCGGTCAGCATTGACGAGGCCTCTTTCCCACAGAGGCCATGAACAAGGCCCAGGTTAGGGACCCAGCATCAGCGGTAAAGAGCCCTGTTGCTTCCGAGAACAGCTTCCTAGAAGACTATCTGGAAGGTATTGTCTCTAAACACAAAAAGGTGAGGAGGATCAACTCTGCCAGGACTCTGGGAAGACAATTTAGCGAGCACAGTGATGTGGCTGGCATTGGGAGACAGCACAGCCCCCTGTCCTCATATGGCCAGACTGCCAGGCGCCCCTTAGAAAGCACTGCCCAGTGGTGTGTCTGAAATGGGTTCTAGAGCCTCCAGCCCCCAAGCAGGCATCAGGGTGCAGGGCAGCCGCTGCCAGCGAGGCCTCGCCAGCCTCCATCAGCCTGGTCCTTTTGCCCCAGCCAGCTGCCCATACATTCTGTATGTCACGAGGTAAACAAGTTGGGGAACACTGCCACAGAGGACTGTCTGCTGACCTCTGACCTCAGAGGCAAGAGGTCAGAAGAGCAGACAGTTTGTAAAATGGGTACCAGGCACCTCATGGGCCACCTAGGGACAAGGCCACACCAAAGGCTACCCTGAGCACAGACAGCAATGCAGGAAGGGTGGCAGCTCTCCTGCCTAGGAAAAAAATAGCCCGATAGCACCCAAGGAAGAGCTGCAGTGAGGGCAGAGATTTCATCCATGAGAGCCTGGGTTTAGGTCAGTAGAAGTGTTAGAAAAACCTCCACAGCCAGTCCCCTGGAAGAGCATCCCTGCCTCAGCAGGAAAGAGGGTGTAACTTGATCCCAGTGGCCGGCACTGTGTGAGCCCTTTTCAGGCATCACCTGTTTAGCTGGGTAGCTTGTGCCGCATTTTACAGATATGGAAACTGAGGCCCCAGGAGGTTAAGTCATTTTCCCAGGGGGCATTCAAGCAGTTTCAGAACTCGATTTGAGCCCAGGGCTGGGCTGGTAACGCACACTGGACGACTGTCCACAAGGTTTGTGCAGGGAAAGGGCAGGTCATCGATTCAGTGGCACACACCTTGCAGAAGTATCAGCAAGGACTCCTGGGAGGATGCAGGTGAACAGCCTTGTCCTAGAAAATGTCAAATGTGAATCAGAGCGGAGCCGCCCACATCACAGTGTCTGAGGAGGGGACTGGCCGCTCGATTCAGCCATAGTTCTCCCTCTTCAAGAGGCAGAAAGCTTTCCATTCTCACTCCCCAGGTTCAAACCCTGGATCTTCTTCCTAACTCCCAGCAAGCGCTCTAGACCTCAGTTTTCTAACCTGTAAAATGGGGATAAGTGCCTGCCTAGGTTTGTTATGAGCCATAAATGAGGCCATCAACATCAAGTACTTAGCACAGTACCTGAGACAGAATGAGTGAATGAGTACTCTGAGTCTTAGCTGCAGACTCAGAATACCCCTGGTTGCCAAGTTTTCTGCTAAAGATGCCCATATAGGTATGGTTTAGGAGAAGGCCCTGAGCCCATCCAAGCGGTTGGGCAGTGTGACTCCAGTCCTGGCTGGCCAGCTCTCTGCCTGCAGAGGCTCTGGCTTCCCTGGGTGATGGGTGGCACCCCCTCCTTCCCAGGCCTGCTCAGGAGCCTACAAACCCAATTACTGGCTTATGAAAGTCACTTGATATCCCCAATTCCCCAAGCCGGTCCATCACCCAATGTGTAATATGGGTGGTGGGGGAGGGCCACTGTTGGTGCCTCCTGCATAGGGCTGTTGGGGGGCTCCCACTCATACTCCTCCCCATGGTAGTCAGAGGGGCCTTTAAAAAGGGTAAATTAGTAAAATTCTCCAAAACCTGTCCACTGCTCCAAGAATTCAGTTCCACATCCTGCCTAGCCTGCCACATGAGCTCGCCCTCACCTTCCCCTCTCAGCTCACCTCTCCCCACTCATGTCTGCTCGCCAAACCCAGGCCTGTGTCCTGGTTTCCTCCGCCTGGGACGCACTCTCTTCACACCTCACACCTTCACACCTTTGCCTCTTTCTTGAGCCTCAGCTCAGATATCACCTCCTCTAGAGGCCTTCCCTGGCCACCCCAGGGGCAGTAGCCCTCGCCTTCCTCCAGGAACTATGTACCATATCACCTTCCTTATTATTTTTTTTCAGAATACTTATAACAATCTGAACTTCTCTTAGAAACAGGCCTGTTTATCTGCTGCCTCCCTCTGCAGCACTGGAGGCCCTGCACCCAGCAGGTGCTCAATCAGTGTCTGCGGAATGAACGAATGAAATGCCTGATGCACAGTTAGCCCTCCACAGAGGTTTTTATTGTCACACATAACATCCCCACCACAAGGTCTCTCACTCCCCAGCCTCATTCAGGGGCTCCTGGGAACTTCCATGGAGGTCTCCTTCAGCTAAAAAGCCCTGGAACTGTCAGTGAGAGGCCCCTCACTGTTTGCCACCCACAGCTCTTTCACCTGGCTTCTTTGGCACCCCTCTCTGCCAAACGCACCCCCTTGGGCACGAGCACACACGCACCTTTAATGTGCAGGTGGCACGGGGCAGCCTGCTCCCCAGGTGTGCCTTGCCCTGCTGGGGGATGGCACCCGCCTTCTCCAGGTATTACCTGACTTTTCCCCAGCAATGTTTGTTTTAAGGATTAAAGTTAGTGGAGGAGCCTGTAATTCCCAGAATCATTTGTTCCTTTCCTGGCAGCCAGCACTACAGTTGTTATTTTATTTTCCCAAGCCCCTGATAATACCGTTCCAGACACGTTGGTTTGAAAGTATCATCCAATGGAAAAACTCGGATGCTTCCTTCCCCTACCCGGCAGGCAGTCTCGCTGGCTTCACAGAGGGAGGCCTGGGCCGTACTTTCTCGGCACCCCTTTCCCTCCGCCCTTGGATCAGCCTTGAGGCTTATGATCATTTTGACCTTTTTCTTTGTTTTTTGTTCTGTTTTGCTTTGTTTTAAGTACTACCGTGACCCCACCACCGCCACCTTTACCTGGCACAGTCAAGAAACGGGCTACCTCACGTGAGTAGATTTTGAAAATAATGCCTTTCAAGCACTAAAACTTTATACATTTTAAAAACAGTTTTATTGAGTTATAACTGCCACACTGTAAACTGCGTGCATTTAAAGTGTACAACTTGATCTGTTTTGACGTTTGCACATACCCGTGAAACCCTCGCCACAATCTAGATAATGAACGTATCCATCACTCCCAAAAGGCTCCTC